TTGTTTCAGTTCATAGCCTCAGAGTTGTGTTTTGGGTCTGTACTCAACTCTCTGGCAGAGAAGGCCTGAAGCAAATAATCTAGCCTTGCTAGAGAACTAACTTTATGAAGAAACAATAAAAACAAGATCAATCCACTCTGACTCCATGTGATCAGAACTTAATTCATCAGAGTGCCGTATGACCAGAGTTTGAGACGCCGTGGAGTACATACATGCTTTTCAAGATTTGAATTTAAAAAGATAGAACATATTTCAGCGTGACCTTTTGGCTAGGCCTACAATCGTATCTTGGCAAGAATGATTGTGTGTTTTATTACGTTACACAACTAACTGATTTTAAAACAAAGAATTATGATGTTATCCTTCTTACAGAAGTATTATTCTAGGTTTTGTGCATGCATGGTATCAGGTTGCTCCAACAAAATAGTATCCCATATGGTAGCCAAAAGCTTACAAATATATAGGTTGAATTTGGTGGCTTTAAAGGCAGAAGGCTAAATCTTGCTATGACGTTCAAAATTACAAAGGTGAGAATGGTGGCTGAGTGTGGTGAGATTCAGAAAAATATTCCAGTTGTTGTAATCAAAACTTCATTCTAATATCCCTCTCGTGATTAATTGCTCATTTATGACTTCTTTTTGTTTCCATTATAGTTTTATATAAAAAAGTATTCTTTCCTAGGTGTTCTGTTTATGATGTTTCTTGTTAGTATTCAGCTAAGTTCCTCAACAGTAATTTGTGAATCCCATGTTTGTGAACATAATAAACCTATATAACATACAAAACACAAATTTCTTCCTTAGGCCTATTTCTTTTCTTCCAAAAAGAATTGGGAAGGAATGGGATACATCTCTAGAATTAGTAGACCATGAATGACCAAGTTTCTTCCTAGTCAAAATGGCAGGATTTGCATGAGGTTTTAAAGCACCTTCTAACACAGGGGTCCCCAATCCCAGGCCACAACACACTACCAGGCCTTGAGCTGTTCAGAAACAGGCCATGGAAGTGGTGGGCAAGTGCAAGGTGGATGCACATGCCCACTGCTCATACAAATGGAGCTGCACATGTGTGCATACTTGCCTGCCACTCACCCATCCCATCCAGCCGGTCCATCATATCTTGTGTGAATCCAGTTAAAGGAGTCTGGGGGGTGAATTTGAAGCAATATATGTTTTAGGCATTTTTACATATGATACTAAGTACAGGTAGTCTTCTATTTACAACTATTTGTTCAGTGACTGAAGTTACAATGGGCCTGAAAAAAGTGACTTCTGACTGTTTTTCACACAACCATTGCAGCGTCCCTATGGTCACGTGATCAAAATTTGGCAAATGACTCATATTTATGATGGTTGCAGTGTCCCGGGTCACATGATCACCTTTTGCNTGTTTTTACTGGCAGAGCATCATGCCACCACAGGCACCCTCCGACATGAGTGACATCGAGCTGATCATGCCCACCTTGTCCACACAGCCCTACCCCCCCAAAGGTCAAATACAACCCTAATGTGGCCCTCAATGAAATTGAGTTTGACATTCTTGATCTAGACAAAAAGGTTTTGGGAAGTCTTTCTTATATCTGGTCTATTACTGAAAAGCTCTCTCTGAAGTTGTTTCTTACCTCAGTTCTTTCAGCAAGCAGAGCTAGAATAGAAACCCTGACAAAACCCTTACCATTCAGGAAGTTATGATAGGACAGAAGACATGTTTCGTGAAACCTGGTTTCAAGCTGATCAGATTTCTGAACTGTTGCATCTGAAAAAGTGCAGGAGTGGCATTACAATTAAGAATTAGAGTTGTAGAATTCCAGATGACTACTCGAGATAGGTAACTCCTTCCTCATCCATGTCTTTCACATGATATAATGATCAACCGGATTATTGCAGATCAAATCTGATAATCTGCTAAAATAGATAAAATACCTACTGTACTTCTGGTTAATCTGGTGGTCCTGTTCTGGAGCAAGTGTAGTTTCCAGACCATGTTTAAAAAGGACCCCATATAAAAGATACTGAGATGGTTCCTTTGTATTAACATACAGTTCCATGCTAGAGTGTCTCTATATTCCCCCCGCCCCGCCCTTCGGAAAGTGTTTTTCCCCCATCTGTTCCTTCCCGTTTATGCACAATCCACACAATCTTATTGTTACTCTCTATTGTTTCATTTTTCTAAATATCTTTTGTTTGTTGTTTCAGTCTTTATTTGTAGCAATCTTTTTGTGATAAGAGACAGCTGCAGCTGCAACTGCAACCTGTGCTGAGATTTTCAAGGCTCATGTCATTGTGATTTCAAATCAAGCACTTCTTATTTTCAAGTTCACAGCCCATGCATTATTTGCTGTTGATCCTAGTAAGGTGAATTAGTGGTGATTTGCCCCTGAAAAGTCTTTTTATTGTCACAATGTCAGTGGCAGTTGTGGTGGTGGCAGCTGCTTTAATTACTGACTTATTTCCCTTTATCCCTTTTTAATGGCAAAATAGTGTCATAAAAACAGTAAATAACCATCTTAAAAGAAAACAGTGAGAGGAAATGATTAATTTTGTTTCCCTGCTAGGAGGAAAATCTGGATGAGACAATTTGCAGGTGGCAAATGAGAGGCTATTTCTCATTCATTCTCTAATTCTCACCTGATCAAGGGGAAAAATAAAAAAGGGAATGAAGCACAAACAAGAAGCTTTCATTTAGCATTTGAAAGGGTGTTTACTGAATAGAAGGGCATTTACTGAGAAGACATTAAGAATCTTAGATAGTTAGAGGGAAGCATGGCTGGATAAAATTGAAGAGATTAAGAGCTGTGTAAGCCATCCATTTAGATTCTACTTGGACCTAAGTGGGAAAAATTGCACAGACTGCTAGTAAAACTGAAGGTAGAAAGCCACAGTGCAAAATGCTTGAACTATATCTGAAGTTGTGATGTTACACAGTTAACTGAATAAGTATTTGCTACAATTCTTCCATTTTTTTTCTCCCAGCACAATGGCAGTGTTTCTAAGAGTGTTTATCATACATTGCAATTTCAAATCTGAATTTCCCCCCAACTCTGACTGTGTAAACTTTGAATGGAAACCTCTTGAAATAAATGTGAAATGCCCACTTACAAGTCTAAGGAGCTTGGTTCTTAAAGCAGTAAAATCTATACATAAAAACTTACCAGTAAGCTTTTTTAAAAATACATTTTCAAGGCTGTTTCAAACTATTTCTGACTGAGACAAAAAACAAAATGTTGCTTTCTCTCTCATTTCACAAAAGTAACTGCTGTGGTAGATGAATCTTAGTTCAATCCCGAGAATAGGAAGATATCCTTTACTATATCATATTTGAAGGTAACAGCAGATGTAATTAAGTTTGCAGGAGTTGAGTTTGGGATAATTTGCCCGTCACATCTTGTTCAGACATCAGCTATCTGCTTCTAATGTGATGTTTTTCAATGTTAGCTACTTTAAGATACGTGGACAATGCTGGCTGGGGAATTCTGGGAGTTGAAATGTTCATATCTTAAAGTTGCCAGGGTTGAGAAACACTGCTCTAATGAATGAAGTGCTTTGCTAGCCAAAAAATTATAAAAATAAAAGCCAATCATTCAGAATATTATAATTCCTCATTTTATGTGTAGCCTGGAGGTCTGATATGTAATTTTACTGACTGCAAAAATCAAATGGTTTGATGGTTACCTCATATCTGGCCCACAATTGTATAGAGAAGCTACGTATTTACAGTATGAACATTCTCTTTTACAATATTATCTTTTTAGAAGACATTAAGCCCAGACAGTTTTCTGCCTCCTGGATTTATTTATTTATTTGTCACAGACTGAATTGGAAAATACTTTCCATTTCCTTCAGTTTCCAGCCTAGCAGCAAATATTCAGTCACTTTAAATCTGCATTTTAAATAAAATATCTACATTGGAAATAGTAAACATGTACATTAGACGGTGAAATCTTTGGTACTCTCTGAGCTTGTTTGCTTGCAGATAATTCATTGCCCAACTAGGTTACATCATCAGTGTTGGTNCCCCCCCCTCTCTTTGGTAAATTGCTTCGTGGAGGTAAATTTCGTCAATTATATAATTAATTATGACAGGTTCTATAATTTAGAGTCAGTTTTAATTTTAAATGTTCGAAATCATGGCACGCTGAAGTTCTCAAGATCATAGCTTTTGTGATCATACAACAGAATAAATATTTGACTATGATTTGGATTGTAAACATTAATAAACATCAGCAATTAATTTAGTTTATGTAATTATCATAAATATCTTCACTTTTGAAACTTTATCCTACATTTTAAAAAACGTATATTTTTGTACTTCTTGTAACCAATGAATTCATCATAATGATGGATTCATAGCTAAAGGATATGTCCTGTTAAACTCTTGGTGAAATCTTTCTTACAAGTAAGGATTATTGTATCTCAATTCTGTTATCTATATCTATATGTATATCTTTTGGATCTGACTGAAATAAAATAGATTAAATCTATATTCATCTCTCTTGTTCTTACAGCATCTGAAATTATAAATTAAGCAGTTGCATAATTAGGACCCTTTACTTATGAGGCAAAAGTTAAAATGGAGATTTTGGAATTAAGAATATTGCTAGGATTTATCATGTTTAAAAAAACTCCTTAAAATATTTTTATAGCACTTCTCATGCCAAGCATCTGCCAGCTGTGTGCATTAAAATATTGTGTTTGCAGTAAAACTCATAAAGCAATGAAAAAAAATTAAACTTTGTAAAGTATATAAAATGGCTATTATTGTAGCAGTGTTATTAGAAGGCATCAAATGTCAGGGTAAATGTTTTTATTTAAATATTTAAAAATATCCCCAAATAATATTAGGTATGTCCAGGACTTCTGGGGAAGAAACAGCAAACTGAAGACAGAACAGAGCCAATGAGTATGGCAGAATGAAGAGACGGCAAGTGGACCGGCTCTTCAGAATACTTTTACAGTTAGGGAAATGACTTGTGAGTGCACACAAGTCCTCCTCATGAGGAGTCCATAGAGCAATGGTCTTCAGCAGGTTTAGACCTCTGAGAGATGAGAGGTCACCATTGTCCAAACCCAAGGTACATGCCTCTATGGACCTAGGATTTTTGTACTTCCCATTCTAATAACTTTATGAAACTCTTAACTGTGTTTCAGTGTTTAGGAACCTTTGAAATGACAAGAGTTGTAGCCTTGAATGAGTTTCCTTTAATTCTTAGAGAAAGAAACTTTAAATGTAAGTTTAAGAACTTTAAAAAAAATCTTTTTGGGAATAAACTGCAAAAGAGCGATCAATTTTGGAAAATTACAAATGGACTAAGTTGACATGGATTTGAAATAAAATTTTGGAATTAATTGTAAAAATGCTTCTCATGGGAAAAAGCTATTGTTTTGAATTCTTAAAAAAAGATGAAACTTTCAAAGTTGGATGCACTCAGGGGAATTAAAGATAACTAAAGATTACAATAAAGGACGAGAATATTTAAATTTGGCTTATTAAAACAGAATGGAGCAAAATACTTCAATGTTGGATGTTGTCAGCCTCTTGCCTTGCTGCTTCAGCTGCCATTGAAATGGGGAGGGGGGGCATGGTATTTGGGAGGGGAATCATTATGTGCTGGAGGAATATTCTAGAAGCTGTCCTGACCATCTCATTGCACATGTGGAGGAAGGGAGTTTCCCGCCAAGGTTAACTGTCCAGCATTCCACCCTGATGAGGTTTTTTGAAGATATCTCCCACCTGACAGTTGGGTGAATTATTATTGGACTATGGACTGGGGTGCCAAGGGGAGAGGATTGAACTGTACATGATATTCATTGCTTTCGCGCCTAATTAACCAGACTCAGCTTTGCTTTGCTACTATTCATTTGTAATTAGTAAAAGTACACTTAATTTCAAACAAATGGAGTTGAGTGGTTTCTTTCCTGATTATTAATTGAAGCAGCATCTGACAGATGTATTGTGAGATATTGGAAATAATGGATCCAGAAGTTTATTTCAAGAGTATGTCATTGCAAACAGACTATGTTTTTAAAAAAAGTTATGGAAGAAAAAGTTTTACTGGACAAGACTGAAACTGATTTGAAAGTAAATGACAGGTTATAACTATGATATAGAAAAGATTCTACAGTGGATATACAAACCAGGTGATATCTTAAAAATTAAAAGGGATATACAGATAGCAAACCTAAAAAGTGAGCTAGATAACTTTTCTACATTGGATTTTCAATAACCAATTATAGTTTTGAAGAGTTTTGTTAGAAAGGATATGGAAAAAATAAAAATAAGTCAACTTGAACAACATTAAAGATCAAAATTGTAAAAAGTAAAACAAAGGAATATAAAGCACTTTATTTGATCAAGCTTGAAATAGATATGTTATCTCTGGTAACTGTTAATGGACTTTTGCTCACCAGGACTGAACAACCAGGTTTTACGATTTCTTTATAGATGAGATGAAATTTTAGTAAAAAGAGATTTCCTATTTTACTTTAAGATAAAGTGATAAATTACTAAAATTGTTTATGTTTGTAACAAAGGGAGAACTTATTTTTTTCTATATTTTTTCTATATTTTCTTTTTCTTTTCTGTTCTTCTGTTCTTTATATATCTTAATTTTTGGCACTTTCTATTTTTCTTTTTTAATTGAAATGTGTAATAAAATTATAATTACAATAGCTTGGTTCACTGTTTACAATTCTTTATGTGTTTTATCAAGTTGTTTTTTTATAATGAGCTGTATTGGTCAGTGGTTAGAACGCAGTATTGCAGTGGTAGAATGCAGTATTGCAGGCTAATTCACTGTTCACTATCAGGAATTCGATCCTGACTGGCTGAAGGTTGACTCAGCCTTTCATCCTTCCAAAGCCAGTAAAATGAGGACTCAGATTGTTGGGGGCAAAAAGCACTATGAAGTGATATATAAGTCTAAATACTATTGCTATACATACTACTTGGTTTCAGGCTTTTAAAAAATCAGATTCCTTGATAAATTAGCAGTTTTTATATTAGTAAAGTTGGAAATTAATTTTAATTGTTGTATATGAATCATTTTGTGTAATGCTTAAGGTAGTTTTTTGTATCTTGAAAATATACACATGGATAATATTAGCTTCTTTATTCTAGCAGTGATAGGTTAATTTAACTTTTGGATTTAATTTCCATTAAATTCAATGGGGCTTACTTCTGAATAAGTATGCATGTTCTATCTCCTTTGCATTTTCTGTGCCCTGTATTTTTTCCCAACATTCAATTTGATTCATATCCAAGATGGTGAAGAATCCTAGTCAACTGAGAAGTTTCACACTGTGACATTTTCCTTGCTTCTAAAAAGGATTTTGTGAATTTTGGAATCATGTAAAATGTGTTATTAAATAATATTGAAGACATGGTTTTTTTTAATAAAATAAAATCTGATAATGCAGTTTTTAAATGGAAAAAATATGAAATTGTAGATATAACCTTCCTGATTTATTTTACAGGGTATCCACCATGAATGAACCAGCTTGTAGTGGAAATGGGCAAGACTTTGATGTATTTAGTGTAATGGACTGGAAGGACGGAATTGGTACCTTGCCTGGAAGTGATTTGAAGGTACTGTAATTGCAAAGATGTATACAGAAAGATGTACAATGTTTTATTAAAAGGTGTGATTATTTTAATTAAAGAACACAAAAGTATATTACTTTTAATTGTAAAATATTACATAACAGTAAAATAACACTAAAGGGAGCAGTGCATAATATAAAAGAAGCAATAAAATCACCTAGTAAAAACAAGAGCAGCATATTAAACTTAAGTCTTAACTTTAACATCTTAATTTCAAAATGTTAAAAATAACGAGGTTTGCAAAGAAACTCATCTGATAGTTGGAATATCCCCACACAACTACAACTGTCACAACATCTCTACATGACATGATAAAAATGCTGGCAACTGGCATGTATTTAGAAAGGTTGCAGCATCCTGGACTCGTTTGATCTCCATTTGCAACTTTCTCAGTCTGCTTCTGACAAGCAAAGTCAAATGTGGGAAGCTAGATTTGTGTCATGACCATGTGAATCACATAACAATTGCCGTGATTTGCTAACTAACTATGGCAAAAGTCATAAAATTGACTGGGACTCATTTAATAACTGTCTTGGTTAGCAGTGGAAATTCTGGGGTTGTAAGGACTCCCTGTAAGGATGTCACCTTGTTCAAAACAAATTGAACACCATTTCTTATTCCTTCAAATCATTCATCACAGTTTTTCAATGATTTTCAGCTTATAAAGTTGAATTTGCTTCTTGGAGTTTTATTAAGATGTTGCGTAATATGGAGCATAAAGAAGGCTCTGTGACATTCTCATCCATTGAACAATACAAAAGCTGCACGAACTTCCAATTTCTGACACTTATAGCTGATCTGGAAAGATAGCATGGAATTTTTTTTTTTAAAAAAAAACCTTTTATGAAATTTTTATACATATTAGTTAAGGATATTGAAGACTGGTAGAATTAAGGCAAATTGTCCATGAGCAATCTCTTACCCTATTTTTCAGAGTATAAGATGCACCTTTCCCTCTCCCCCCCGCCCGAAAAAGTGAGTGAAAATTTAGATGTGTCTTATAGACTGAATATGAGCGTTTTTGACCTCCTGAACTCTCCATGTGTCATATTTTTGCCCTCCCCAGCCCCCAGAAGTACTCTGCAGGCCAAAAACAGGCCCGCTTTTGGTGCAAATGGGCCGTGCGGAGCACAGCAGAGTGCTTCTCGGAGCCGGGGAGGGCGAAAACGTGATACGCGGAGGCCAAAAACTATTTTTTTCTTGTTTTCCTCCTGTAAATTTAGATGTGTATTATAGTTCAGTGCATCTTATAATCTGAAAAATACGGGTATTTTATACAATTTAGCTGCTTTAAGTGCTCTGTGTTTAGAAAGCATTATATGAGATTAACTAAGATATTTTCATCAACAGTATCAGTAATCTTCCAATCATATCACAGAAATTTGTGTATTAGTCAGCACTTCAGTGAAGGAGGTTAAAATCTGGAAGATACTGTTTTGAAATTTTTTTATAGCTTCTTTGTGTGTGAATTTTGTCTCTTTCCTCCAGTGATGAAAGATCATTTTGATTTTGTACTGGCTTCAGGTTGTTCTTTCTGCTTCCTCTAATTAGATACAATAATTGTGCTAGTACTTCTGATACAAAAATGAATATTCCTCTCTGATTTCTCCATTTTCCGCTTTAGTATGTTAAAATAAAATGAAAATTGTACCTTTCTAATATATTCCTATAATAAAATATACATTGGAAGGTGCACATCTATGCATGTATGAACCACCTCATAGAAAGTTTGCTGGCCCAAATATATGATCATGATTTTGTAAGATTGAATTACAATAATATGCAAGCTTCAACCAAACCATAAAGACATTGTTATATCATGGATTAAGGAACTGTTCTATGAATGAAAACACTGAAAGGTACTCATGGGGAAAATTATGGTAAATGGGACAGGGTTGGAAAATGACATGGTTGTAAAAGACAGTGTCACATGACTGCTGACTTTTGACAGCAATTCTGGCAATTCCAGTTGCAGTTGTTAGGTCAGTGATGGCTAACCTTTTTGTTCTTGCGTGCTGAAAGTGTGTGCACGTGCACAACACTGCATGCTCACACCCACAATACAATGCACACGTCCCCACCCGCACAGCTTGTCTGCCTTCGTATGTACATGCAACCCCTCCCTGAACTCCCTTCGCACATGCATGTGCGACCCTCTGTGCCCCATTTTGGGCCTAGCAGGCCTTCCTGAAGCTTATTGGGACCAAAAATGGGGTGGGGGCAGCGCAGGGGGAAACCACACATCTCTCGCTCCCCCCAGCTTCCCCTGCATGCGTACGCTATTACAGGTATTATGTCTGCCTTGTATGCAGCTTTATTCCTCTCTAGCATTCATTTCCATTGTTCAATGATGCATTCCCTACCTTTCTAGGATTTACCCCATCTGCTCCTGTGAGGCACTTTCTCTTCCTGTTGGATGTATGTAGTTAAATTCTCGATGGCTTGCATAGTGTTTTAACTGCATTTTGATTAAACAACACACATTGCAGAGATCTGAAAATCAGCAGGAGATGCACACCCATATGTGGTGGAGCTCAGCTGGGGTGACAACTCGTGTGCTGGCAGAGAGGCCTCTGCGTGCCATAGGTTCGCCATCACGGTGTTATGTGAATCCTCCATGGTCATTAGATGTGATGTCACAGGATTGCTATTTGCAGTCTCCTGCCAGATTTCTAATTGATTTTGTTCATTAGAAGCTGGCAATGAAAGTTGCAAATGGTGATCATGTGACCGTGGGATACTTGCAAGCCTTGTAATTGAAAGCCAGTTGCCAAGGTCTTGAATCACAATCACACGGCTGCAACATTGAGTCATGTGGCTGCAACGTTGAGGATTGACCATAAATCTCATTTAGTGCCATAATAATTTCTAATGGTTGCTGAACAAATGGTCGTTAACTGAGGGCTAAACCCTAGAAGTCACATCTCTGTATGCTGATATAAAGAATCATCTCCAATTAACACTGCAAAGTGATAAACTTGCCAAATGTATCAGTTGATCGTAAACAGTGATAAATACATTTGTTTCATATTTATTTGGGGATATACACAAAGATATAGTGCTTAAAACAATTCCGGTGAATAGTTCTATGGGGCTGAATGGAGATTTGATTCCAAATTGTCTCCTCAGCTCTAATTCTACTTCTAGACTGCTGTACAACATTTCCATGCTCAGCGTTCAGAATGTTTAATTGAGGGAAATGAAATGTGTCCTATTAAGTTTTCAAGGATCATGCTGTTTTGCCTCTGGTGCTTTCATCTTCTCTCCTTCGTTTCCTTGTTCTCTTCTTTCTAGGCTGAAACTTGAAGTTTAGCGTTAGTCCTTTTGAATTTCTGAATAAATAAAGAGAGGATGTTTCACACCCATGTTTTATTCTTTTTAAATAAGATGTAGGTGTGTGTTTGAGAAGAAAGCTTGGACTCACTTGCTTCTTCCTGTTCAGAAAGGGCACATTTTAAAGACAGTCTTTTAAACCCAGGCTTTCTGTTCTTCGTTGCCTTCGTTGTGCTGAGGAAATGGCTTCTTCCTCCTATCGGTTTGCTTACATTTTGGAAAGTGGCTTTCTAACTAAAATGACTTGGGGTTTCCATTGGAAAAGGGATCAATACAGCTATAATGCCAGAATACTTTGTTATTAATTTATTATTTCTCCAAGTTGTTTAAAAATGTGACCAAGCCTAATGTAGGCCAAATGCACTTTTTTCCCCAAACACCCCTCCCGCACATTCAATGCATAGAAAGTATCTTACTTAAGTATTATATTTTTTTTATTTTTCTACAGCACCTACAGTTTGTCATTGCTTATTCTTCTCTGACTCCAGAATTTGCATTCAACTTCTTCCCACCTAAATATACTTCATACTTTACTCATACTGTACTATTCATGCACAAACCCTCTATTATAGTTGATCAGGTTTCTTTAACTTGGAAGACATGAGAGAAACTCTCCTGCTTTGGAATAACAGTAGTTTGGGGCAATCTTATTAGTAATTATATTAAATAAAAGATGTTGCCCCTTATTTAGTGGTAAAGGTATCATTAATTATGATACTCAAGGAAGTGGATCAATTTTATTTGGATTGCCCCACATTGCTAAATACCAGAGCAGTTTTTAGGGTAGAACTTTGAAAATGAATAGTTTGGAGATGATTTTCGTTTTAGCTTTCTGTCAAAGTTAGAGGCTTTTTTATTTTGAATATTTTATTTATACATTTTTTATAAACATAAAATAATCAATGTCTACATGAACAGTGTGTTGCCTGAGTACAGTTAATTTTGAGAAATAGTAATAATNAGTTGTGGTCAGAAGTCGAGGATTACCTGTACCACTGAATGCCATTCATCTTATTGCTAAAGAAATAGTTGTAGGCGCTTGCCTAAAATAGATTGCCAAAAATAATGAAACTAATTATGATTATGCAGCATCAACTTCTGCGATGATGTACTGTAGATCGCTTTTCTCCAGGATAATTGTTCCCAATCTGGTCTTTCTAATATTCCAACAGCATACCCATTGCTGCTGTAATTGAGTTCTCTTGCTTGCCCTCTTGTTCACGTTGACTCTGCCTTTCCCAGCATGAGAGAGACAAGAAAGTTAGGTCTCTGCCTAATATGTCCAAGTATGATAATTTGAGCCTGTTCATTTGTGCCTCAAGTCAGAACTCTGGGTTGATTTGTTTAATGATTCATCTGTTTGTTTTGTTGACTTCACTGCAGTTCCAAAACATCAATACTGTTTCTACTCTGTTTCTTCAAAGGCCAACTTTCATAAAGTGTCCCAGGCAAAACCACTGCCCCCACAGTTCTAATCTTTATACGTATAGACCTAGGTCAGCTCCACCGTGTACAGCATATCACATCAAAAAAGTAACTCCAAAGCATAGTTAAAAGTACTTTATTATATTGCCAATTGTAACAAAATTTCGGCCCCCTTCCCTGCAGTGCTGTGAATGGAGGAGGTTTTGTTAGAGTTGTTTCCTCTCTCT